AAAAGCATTTCCCCATTGGAATGCATTGAAACCTGTTTAATGCGTTCCAATGGGGAAGAATCGTCGTTGTCTAGCAAAGATCGGCCATAGGAAAGCCACTTTGTGAACTGCCGATCAGCTGTTTAAATAGCTGCCTTGCGAAGCTTAGGTCCCGAAAACACCCGTTTTGCAAGCACGGAGGGAGCTGTCAAAATTGTTGTCTAGTGAAAATTGGTTTGCGAAGCAGGGACCAAACATTGTCCAGTGAAACTCCCCCATAGGAATCACTGTTTAGAGAATCGCTATAGTGATCGCAAAAAGTCAATGTCTAACGAAAAAACTCTCATGCGGGGTAACTCTCTAGTGAGGCACCACTGTATCCCTATGAAAGAGTGGTGGGAGTTTAGACAGACTTTCTGCTTCATTATCTTTGTTGGTTTTTTAACCATTTGACTACACCTTTCTTGAGAAATCTTGGCCGTCACTTCTAGTGGAACTGGTAACAATGTTCAAGCCTGTTTGGTGACCAAAACTCTTTGCTGAAACAAAAACAATGGCTAGAATATTGTGTAAGGTTTCTATAAGGTTTGTGTAAGGTTAGCATAAATTACAGTGGCTGATTGCATCTAATTCATGAGGTGAGAAGACACATCTCAGTTGTGACAAATGCCCAGTATGCATGCTGACACTGTTAGATTACTTGGGTAGTTTATTCTGTTCTTTTTTTCTTTGCAAAATATTTTTTTCAAAAATGTACAGTCATTTAAATCAAACCCTATCCCACTGTCCTGATGTATGTGACTTAATGTAGCCTTGCATATCTTTCATTTTTTTACTCCTTTAGGTTTAACCACTACAGAAATGAGTAAACAGGAAAGTGAATATACCACTATACCTCAAGAAATATCAAAAACAGTACCAATGATGCACGATAGTATTCTGAAAAGTACAAAAGGAGAAAAGGTAAGCATATGGCTTGCTGTGTGAGTAAGAAGCTGATTTTGTACCATTTACCTGGGAGTAAGCCTTATTCTACTCCCTGGCTGAAATCCCATTTTTCTGCTACACAAAAGACTTTCACTTTTGAAGACAAAGATAAGAAATCTGCTGTATACTGAGTCACATGATTTGGTATGCAACCAATAATGTATATGGAAATTTCTTAACTTGAGGCTGGTCACTGCCCAAAGTTACCCCTTTTGCATAGCAACACAACAAGATTTCAATGAGTTGGACTTTATTCTGAGTAGAGATCCATATAGTTGTGCTGAAAGTCTCACAGCTATGCTCAGTATCTTCTTTGGAAGGGAATCGGGAAGAAATTGGTTACTTTTCCGTAGAATACAATGGGTCAGTTCCAGCTCCTGCTATAAGAATTTTCTGCGCCATTCTATGTGCAGGTATCTAGAAAAATTTACAGAGGCTAGCATGACTTAAGCTCTGTGCGCAGAGGGGAAAATACCCAATTCCTCTATGCTAGTCATAATGTCCAATATAAGTTGTATTTAAAAGTGTGGAAAAAGTATTCACATCCTCTGACCACTTTCGTAGCAGCTTCCTATTGCCTGTGGTTTTGCTGTAATTTCTTCTTCTTCTCTGGAACACACCTTGGGGCCCTAAAGAACATAAGGGAATTCTACCGAAGGATACAGTTGAATGTTTTCTTTGTTGGAAATCCGCTGGCTACCCGGACCAGATAGCCTCGTGCAGCACTCAAATGAAATTATTTGCAAGTTCGGAAAGAACAGAAAGAATGCATTCACTTTCTGTTAGAATTGTATCCCTTCTAATCTTTCTTTGAATTCTCCCACCTATTCCTTTCCGTTTTATACCACACCAATCAACTCCCATGCTCTTCCTCCCTCTCTTCCAACACTCAACAACAATCACAGCCTCCCTGCTTTCCCTGATGACAACTCTCTTCTTAACCACTTCCTGCAGTATTCTGAGGGCTGTGATAGGCAGAAAGGAGAGACACCCCTGCTGTTCCACACTCTGTCACACATCCCAGTTCTAACCATCTTACCCCTTATTCAGGGGTAAAAGTCCATTGGATTCTAATTGGGTTTAGTTCCATATAGATATGCTTAGGATGACATGATTGATTGTCTGATTTTTATTTGAAGGGCCAAAAAGGTGAAAAGGGAGATGAAGGACCACCTGGACCTCCAGGAAAAGCAGGACTGGAAGAAGCCCAGTATGGGATTATAGGATCACCTGGAGTTGCTGGTATGCCTGGACTGGACGGTAAACCTGTGAGTATTCTGCTTACTCATGTAATAAAGATTTTGATGCTGAACAGTTTTATAAAACATAGTTTCTATTTATTCAGTTCCCTTTAGCTCTCTACCTAGTACTCATACAGCTCTTTGGAGAGATCTATTAGCATAAGGGATCAAGATTTATGGATGTGTGTGTACTCTTGTATTTAGTAAGGTTGTACTGGATTGTACTGGTTACCAGCTTGAATTCTTTGGCTGACTTTTGCTTCATCAGAACACATTGAGGTTTTTTTTTTTTTTTTGTAAGATTATTGTTTGTTGTTCTTAATAAAATTACAGTAATAACATTTTTGTTCTTCCTTTCCTTTCCTTCCTTAGAAGCTCACGAAAAACTCTTAATTCCATATATCTATCCATATATATAATTCTATATATATCCCACATATATATATATACAAATATGCAATATATGGAATCAGGGCTATATTCTCTGATTTTACGATGTTAAGAAGAGCTCTGCTCAATTAAACCAAAGATCAGTTCTAACAGTGATCAACTTATACAAATGTTGATATTTGCTTGAAAAGTTGCTTGCTTGCATGTTTGTTTGTTTGTTTGCTTGCTTGTTTTTCTTTTTTTAAACTTTGCCTTTTCACCTTTCAATCTCATTTACCCACACTGCTGTTGAATTGTATTGGTTTGTGAAGATATTCAGTCATCCGGATGAGTTTATCTGGAAGGTGCATCATGGCAACTGGATTCTTATTAAGTTGAAATTGCTCATCCAAGTAGCATCTTCAGTCTGAGGGGAGTTGGCAGGAGACCCCGATATATCCTCCACATTGGTTTCACTTCCCCCTGGTCTGAATAGGCTCATTAGATGGACAAAGAAGGGGGGGGTTGAGTAAAAGTCCCACTTTTGCAGTCCTTCTCCACCCATTGTTCTGGGTTGTCAACCGTCGTTAACAGTGGTCTTTCTGGTGTGTGGTCCTGATCTTTCTGGGGATGGATAGCACATAACAATTCAGCACAATTCATTTCCTGCTGGGTTGGGACATTGCCTTGTTAATGTACATTGCCTCCACAGAAGCCAAGAAGAAGGAAGATGGACATCTGAAGACAGCCCTTAAGGCCTGTGGATATCCAAAATGGGCCTTTAACAAGGCAATGTCCCAGCCCAGCAAGACAATGGCACCGTCTGAGACCCAGAGCTGACGGAAGAACCTGGTCATTCCTTACATGGTGGGTGTGTCTGAAGAGCTCAAAAGCATTTTTGGTAAACACCACATACCCATGCACTTCAAACCCACAAACATATTAAGACAGAGACTCATCCACTCAAAAGACCGGGCACCAAAACACATACTAAGACAGAGACTCACCAACTCAAAAGCCCGGGCACCAAAACACAATAGGAGCAATATAGTAGATGCAGTTCAATGCAAAGAGGAGTGTTCAGAGCTCTACACTGGAGAAACCAAATAGCCACTACAAAGGAGAATGGCCCAGCACAGGAGGGGCAATGGCTCACGACCACAATCAACAGTGTTCCTTCATTTGAAGAACACACATTTTATGACCATGATGTACTCATTTTGGACTGAGAAGATAGGTGGTTTGAGAGAGGGTCAAGGAGGACATACATGTGCATCTAGAAAATCCCTCACTCAACATAGTTGGAGGCCTTAGATACCATCTGTCTATTTATCATGTTGCCCTTTCATCCCTCCCCAGAAAGATCAGGACCACACACCAGAAAGACCACTGTTAACAGCTGTTAACGACCCAAGACAATGGGTTGAGAAGGACTGCAGAAGTGGGATTTTCACTCACCCACAATCCTTTGTCCATCTAACAAGCCTATTCAGACCAGGGGGAAGTGAAACCAATGTGGAGGATATATCAGGGGTCTCCTACCAACTCTCCTCAGACCGAAGAAGCTACTTGGATGAGCCGTGAAATATTTCAACCTAATAAGAAAGAAGTCCAGTTGCCATGACTCAACTTCCAGATAATTGTATTGGTTGTGATAACATGTGTGGTTTTGTTTATATGTGTTTATTATTTCACTAGATTGGACATAAGAGCTGTGATACTGTTCAGAATAAGAGGACTGAAGCTAACAAGGGCACACAAGAAGGGGAATTGTGCTAAGAATAGTACTGAATCTGTGGTAGAAATTCTTCTGCACAGTTATGCAAAAGAGGTAACTTCTTGTGGTGAATTGCTGAATCGCATTGAATAGGTAATGTCTATGGAGATTTCTTAACTTACAGCAATACACTGCTAAAAGTTATGCCTTATGTGTCACTGTGCAACAGGATTTTGGCCCGTGAATTAGTGTTCAGAAGTATTAAAAATGTCCAGAATTAGAAAGAATTGTTGGGAAAGTGTTTCAGGTGAGGCCTACAAAACATCATGCTTTCCACATTTTGATATCCATTTACTAGCTGAAGTTGCGTTGTTGTTCTTCCTTCAAGAAAAAGGAGATGTACATTCATTGATTGAATCAGTAGGATTATGTTGATGGCTCAATGGTTAAAAATTTCTTACTTCTGAGCGGAGATGTAAAGAATTAAACTTTTAAAATGAAGCATGCAGGGAAGCAGAGCCTTCTCCTTGAAGCTGTTTTTTTAAAAAAATCTTACTCCCACAAGGAGTGCTGTCTTGTACTAAAGTTAATATTTGACTAAAATGCTGAGATGCGACAACAAAGACTGGATGATCCACTTTTCTTCCACCTGCCCTTGCCGTGCTTTGCATCTTTGCCCCCTTGTTTTAAAGGGATTAAGTAGCACTTCTTGCCATTTTCATGACTATTCAAAAAAAAAAAGAAAGGCCCAATCAACACCAAATGTCAAAGAGTAATTTCAGAAAACCATCGTCAGGAGATGTTACTATGACAGCAGACAATAAATTAGCACAACAGTATGCTTTTGCAGACACAACACCGTGTGAGCTGAGGTATAGCAACAGTGAAATAATACATGTGGAGACTAAGTCAAAGTAATATCTTTCAAGCTGCCAGTTTTATTTTTCAATCTGCTGCCTTTATTGAGGTGAGGTTTAAACCAATTTGACAGAATTCTGCTTCCTGCACTCGTTCAGCTGATCTTTTGTCCATCTCCCATTTTCCTCTGGGCCTCATTCCTGTTAGTCACCATTCCACAAACCAAACGCTTTTATCGCCCCTCATGAAGTTATTGGGGGAGAGCGGTAGGAGAACATGCTCTGAGTCATCTTGTCCACAAAGCACACACACCCCCGGGTGGCGCATCACCGGGAGTGAACATTTTACCCCTCTTTGCCTTTGCCACCACACCAAGACCAAAATGCTTAGGAAACAGAATCCCTAAATTGAAAATCTCCTATGCTGCTGTTAAAAGTGGTTTGCAACACATCTGGGCCCACCCGTAAGGCCTAAATCTCAGAACACCTCAGAACTGGTAGTCTGGGAGCTTGGCTTCTCTCTGGCCATTCTCACAGGCCATTGTGTGCCACTTAATGTTGCATTCCATGAAGGATGGATGGCAGATGTTAAGGAGTAAGGGTTTAGAAGTTGGTCATCAGGAAGAAACAACAGGCTCTGCTTTCATGTTGACTTTACAAACACAAGAGCTTTCAATATTCCTTTGCTCAGTTGTCTGTTGTCTGTTCTGACCCTCATTCGCTCTACTCTGAGCAGTGGAAACAGACAGGGGAGAGTGTGTGAATACGAACAAAACCACAAGAACAGTGATAAGTCACACCATAAAAGTGAGGTGTAGATTTGGGCTCCTGCTGCATATCGGTTGCCATCAGAAACAGGAACGGTTTTTCCTCTCTCTTTAGACATATACAGTCAGTGGCTCTGAAGTAGAGATTTAGGATTCGGTCTTGTATTTGGAGCAAGTCCCCTTGAATTTAGTGGTATTTATTCTGAGTGGAGATGTATTGTTGTGAATATAGAATCGTTACATCCAGTCCCAATGGAGGGTTGACAGTGATTAGACAGAGTTTGAGAGGACTACACCCACACCAATGTCCCCAAAGTTCATTATGCTGAATTGTTATGTGCCATCAGGTCATTTCTAATTACAGCTACCCTATGAACAAAGGATTTAATGTTGTGTCATTAATAGAGGGTCATAGGAAGTGAACGGGAAGTGTTCACTGCAATGCAAACAAACACATATACAAAGAAATGCTTATGTTTCTGGTCCTGGAGCCAAAGGAGAGACATCTGAGTTGTCACAGTGCTGTGTTTCCATTGGACGAGAAATGGATGTAGTGGTAAGCCTGAAATGCAAAAGGTAGGAGACATCTGTAAATGATTTCTTGGTGAGGGAAACATCCTTTCTTTCTGTCTACTCACAGGAAAATCTGTTGTATTTCTGCATTTGCCATGTAATATGACATACTGGCCGAAACCCTATTGCTCTTTTACACATGTATGTGGAAGACAAGCAGTGTAACATTCTATTGAGTCTAACTGGCACTTAACAAGTCACTGCTGTGATTCTTAGGTCACCTGCAGTTATTGGCTTGGTGCACACTTGAGAATCTCAGCGAGACCTTATTATCTGCCTACTAGAAGCAAGTGAATGTCATATTGTTTGATTTCCGCACGTGTAATAAAGCAACAATATTTCAGCCGTCGTTTTTAGGTAGTGAATTGTGGTAGTAGACCTGGCAATTGTTAATTATTTCCAAATAATCTTAAACAGTGAATGAAGAAGGAATTTTTTTTTAAAATGGAATATGAGGCCTGGAAATATGTCACTTCTGATGAGCCATACAAAGCTGTTTGGAAAGGGGTACCATCCTCTGGCTCCAGAGCCAAAAACTTAAGACCACTGAGCTATCAACATACAGCTGGTGATTTAGAGTACTAATAAAAGGCAGCTAAATGTTGGTTATTTAGTAGGCTACATGCCACAAAAAGGTATGCCAAATAAAACTTTAGAGCATTTAAGGAGCCATAAGCCTCTTTGTTTTTACAAGAAAAAATGAACACAGCAACACTTGTAATGAAATCATACTTGTACAGAGAAGTGTCCATTGGATGTTTTTGCCTTTGTTGTTAAACTAGTCTGGTCAACCTTTGCAGTGAGCACTTCAGCTGGCCTTTTGTTGTTGTTTGTTTGTTTGTTTGTTTTTTGTGGCAGAGGGCAGTTTCTGTTCTGCCTCAGGCAGCAAAATGCCTTGGGCAGGTCCTGAATATGTTCCAGATCTATGATATCAAAGTAGCATTAACAAATACATGAAGTTTAAAATGCTGTAAAACATGGAAATGTCAAAGCATTGAGTTGATTTTATGTGATTTATGACTGAAGTGAGTTAGTATTTGCTATGGCAGTATGTATTGATGCAATTGCTGTATACACCACATAGTTAAATGGTGGTGACAATGGAAAGCAAATGTTACAGAAAACAAGTTTACCTGTCCACACCATGTGCATATTTCTAGCTCAGAGATCCTCATCTGGCTGTCCATCCCTCCCCTTGTAAAGGAATAGCATGGCAGAATATGCATAAATATAATACCTCCCTTTTGGGGCAAAGTGCTCTACATGCAGTAGGGGGCAGAGGGAGATACACACAAGATGGCTCCCTCTCCAGCTTGCTCAAATGAAGCAACATCCAAATAGGGCTTTAGATGTCACTAGCAAGATGAAATCATTAAAAAAAAGCCATGGAGACCTTATTGGTCAAATCAACATTTGAGAGCAGCACAGTTTTCCAAGCTGGAAATTGGCAGGTGTGTTGTACTTTAACATATGTGATTTGGTCTGTTGTGCTTCTGCTTCTCTAAGAGGCAGCCTCAAAAGGTCCCTGTGTTAGCTGCACCATGCTAACTTTCCATAATAAGAGAATGTTTTCAGTTTTGGTCAGAAACAGGGCAGAGCATCAGGGGTCTAGTCTCCTCCTCAGGGCTAGCTCGACCCTGGGCCTATGTGACTATAACAGGGTCATATCATTTTCAGAGAAGTAGTGGTGCTGGTTTGTTTCAGAAAAGAAAACAAAGAGGAAAAACAAAAACAAAAGCATTGTGGCACATTTAAGGCTAGCTGATTTATTTTGTGGATTGCAAGGCACACAGTCTGTTGTGGCTGAAAAAGTGCCTTCCAAACTGTGACAGCTCACACTGAAATAGATCTGCCGTATAATAAAAGTGCCACCGTACTACAGTTTTTAATAATATTTGTTTCAGAAAAGAAAACAAAGAGGAAAAACAAAAACAAAAGCATTGTGGCACATTTAAGGCTAGCTGATTTATTTTGTGGATTGCAAGGCACACAGTCTGTTGTGGCTGAAAAAGTGCCTTCCAAACTGTGACAGCTCACACTGAAATAGATCTGCCGTATAATAAAAGTGCCACCGTACTACAGTTTTTAATAATAATAATAATAATAATAATAATAATTTATTGTCATTTTTCTTTTTCTCTTTAGGTCACACAGATTTTTTTTCATGTCAGATTTTATTCTGTGTTCCAGGAAGATTTAATAAATAGCGTTTGTTCATGACATCTGTGTGCGATCCTGTTTCCCATATCCCAGCTCCCCATCATAGGCCATGCTAAGTTGGGCTGACAGGAGTGGCAGTCCAAAGCATTAGAGGTGGATGGGGAGCAGGCTGAGAAAGGCTGTTCTGGCTGTGTGTTAGCAGCCAGCTTATTTATATATTGCATAATATCTAAACTAATTCAGTTTGTTTCTCCAGATCTGAAGTTGTATCCACCTACCTTTAAAAAAAAAAGCTCATATAAAAAATAAGCTGGGTCAACAGAGGTACTCCTGGGAATTTACTGCTCACCACTTTCCTCTGCTTCAGCTGTCAGCCTAGCCATAAGCTTCCTGAAGATGTCTCTCAAGGAAAGAGAGATGCTGAGGTTCAGGTCAGAGTTAAAAGTTTATGAGTTAAAGGAAGACATCAGAAGAACTGAACACCAAACAGAGGTTATCGATCATTTGTTTAGTCATCAAGTCATGTCCAACTCTTCATGACGCCATGGACCAGAGCACGCCAGAGACTCCTGTCTTCGACTGCCTCCCGGAGCTGGGTCAAATTCATGTTGGTATCTTCTATGGCACTGTCCAATCATCTTGTCCTCTGTCGCCCCCTTCACCAAATCCTTACTAATTCAATGGGCCTGTTTCTACTTGTGAATTACTAATGGATTTCAGCCATTATGGTAAACATTTTTAGAAGATGTAGTATAATTTTTAGAAGACGTAATATGTCTTTTTACATGTATAAAACATGTTTAGCATGTATTTATACAAGCAGCTCTCCATCAAATTATGTCTACTTATCATAGCACATGCTTGTATGCTGCATTTATCTGTGATTGTTTTGTAATTGATCACTGGAAAGCAAATATAAGATTAGTTTGCAAATCTACTTGATAAGGCAGTATGGTATCTTCTAAAAATTATACTACATCTTCTAAAAATGCTTACCATAATGGCTGAAATCCATTAGTAATTCACAAGTAGAGCCAGGCCCATTGAATTAGTAAGGATTTGGTGAATCAGCTCCTTTGTAAGTTATACTGACTCAATGGGCCTACTTTAGTTGTGACTTACTAATGAAATTCAGCCATCATCTAGTTCAATGATTCCCACTGGGGTACATGAACCCCCAGGAATACAAACCATGACATTTTGGAGCACACACACACAAAATTGAATAATGGCAGAAAAAAAGCACATATGTCAACAGTGTAAGTCCCTTAATTATATCTTGAACATGAGAAGCCCCTTGGTGTCTTCCCTTTTCTCCTCACCCACAACCGGAGAGCCCAGCCAATCAGCTTTGCCCTCCCAACCCCATAATAAAGACGCGAGACAGTGATATGGGTTAAATACAGGCCACACTTTATTGATATAATTCCAAATTCGAATTTGCCATCCTTTGGCAAAAGAGGAGGCCTGCTGTAGTGCAGAAACAGGTAAATGGCATGGGTATCCAAATACCCCTTGATCAACAAATGGCTGAATCCCTGGCCCCAGTGGTCTAAAGACAGCAGGAACCCAGCCATCCACTAATAAACACCCCCAGACTCAAGCCATCTTTAATTGATGTTGGTTTGGACGTGGCCCACAGGTAGTGTAATTGCACAATCCACAGTGCCAGGAGGTCAGATGCACTGTTGGCTTACCTGAAATTACAGTGGGACACACCGAAAATACCTGTATTTTCCACACTACCCGCCATGTGACCAAAAGTACCCTGGCTTTCCCCCCTTCCACTTGCCAGTCTCGAGAAACTGAAACAGTCTCGTGCTATCCCGGGTCGAGGGCAAAGAGCCGGCCTCACTGCCCAAAGTCCAGGGACTTGGCAGCGGCCACAGCATTTGCTCCAAGGCAGCATCTGTTCTTGTTCCACCACTAAGTCAGGGGCTTGTGCTGCCTGCTCCTTATGGATTTTAATCTCTTCACTGGTGTGCTTCTGGATGCTTCCAGAGGTGATGAGGAAGTGGCCTGTAGGCAAGAGGGCAAAGAGTCCCTCCCTAACCCCATCCCCCAACAGGAAGGGTAAAATTTATGGAAATGGACTGTCAAGGGGTACACAAATGGAAAAAAGATCGGGAGCTACTGGTCTAGTTTGATTCTAATCCAGGTAGAAAAAGAGGTGACTCTAAATAGTTTTATCAGTCAAAATGTATATTTCTAGCTTAGCTCTAAGAGTCCTGAGAAGACTCCCTGGAAAAGACCCTGATGTTGGGAAAGTGTGAAGGCAAGAGGAGAAGGCTGATTCACCAACTCCTTATTAATTCAATGGGCCTGGCTCTACATGTGACTTACTAATGGATTTCAGCCATTATGGTAAGCATTTTTAGAAGATGTAGTATAATTTTTAGAAGACGTAATATGTCTTTTTACATGTATAAAACATGTTTAGCATGTATTTATACAAGCAGCTCTCCCTCAAATGGCAAATTATGTCTACTTATCATAGCACATGCTTGTATGCTGCATTTATCTGTGATTGTTTTGTAATTGATCACTGGAAGGCAAATACTGTATAAGATTAGTCTGCAGATCTACTTGATAAGGCAGTATGGTATTTGTGGAAATCCCATCATGAGATGAAAATGTTTTAATAACTCCCTGGAAAAGACCCTGATGTTGGGAAAGTGTGAAGGCAAGAGGAGAAGGGGACAACAGAGGATGAGATGGTTGGACAGTGTCATCGAAGCGACCAACATGAAATTGACCCAACTCTGGGAGGCAGTGGAAGAGGGTCTGGTGTGCTCTGGTCTATGGGGTCACGAAGAGTTGGACATGACTTAACAACAACAACAACTGAAAAAAACATGAAGCAATAAACAATGGCTACTGTGAGATTTTCTAAAAGTAATCTGCATAGGTCATAGCATGCTGACCAGTATAGACTGATTTTATTGTACTCTTCATATGAATAACTTCCTATTCTTCTTTTGTTTCAGGGCATTCCTGGTAAAGATGGGTTACCTGTAAGTATCACTGTTAGATGCAGTGTAATATGTGATGACATATGAAACATTATCTAAAGTAGTTACCATTTGTCTGTCTTGCAGAGTGAATTGTGAGGGATAGAGGTTATTTTTCATATGCGAACAACACCCCATGCACAGTACCTTATTTTCTCCCATAGGAGAGAATGGGAGTCATTCAGTAATATTAGAAGATGCAAGACTTCACTGTAAGTGGAATCTTGGGTTTGATTGGTTCCAAGGATGTTGTCAAGGCTGTGCAATCTCTTCAGCATGTAATGTCAACCTGGTGACCAGAAGCTATATATATGGGAACTCATTCCAACGCTTTTCCCACTTCTTCCTCCAGCAGTCCTGATATAGTCCTGAGCCTTCATGATTCTCTTGTCCCATCTCCATCTGCTACTTGTTTTCAGGCAAGTAGAAAGTAGAAAGACCAACAAAGTACAACTGCCATTACCCCCACAGTTTCTATGGGTGGAAAATCACACCCTCTGGAGTGGCAGAAGGGATCCTTCTGGACCAGCATCACTGACCTTGCCCCATGGCCACTTAGTTCTGTTTCCAAGGTGAAAGGAATAATTCTAAGACATAAGGACCCCTTTCTAGATAAGTCATGGGAAGTCAATGCTGTAAAATTAGAAGGGTTGTGATAATATTTTTCAACTTTTGACTCTTACGTCTGATGATGTGGACTTGTCCATGAAAGCTCACATTAAGAAATATAAAAGTTAGTATTTAAAGTGCCACCACATTTTTTTACTCTCTGTTTTTATTTTGTTTTCACCTATACATTTTTAGATTTAAAGTGCCACCACATTTTAATTTTTTTTAACTCTCTTTTTATTTTGTTTTCACCTATACATTTTTCAACTTGATTCTTTACTGATTTTTCCTCTCTTGTTCTCTCTCTTTTAAAAATAATGTTTGCATCACATGGGCTTATGTTATAGTACGTGATGCATCAGTATTCTTCTGCTTTAATAATAATTATGTGTTGTCATATTGTCTGTAGCATCAGATGTACAGTATTTTCTGCCACTCTGTTTAGGTTTCTAAATTTCATGGAATATGACTCTAAAAAACAAAGCACGCATGTAGCTGTGCACTAGACATATAGAATGCAGTTCCACATCCCCACACTACCTCATGCATGCCCCCAAAATAGCTGTATGTGTCTATGCTTGTCCAGGCTGGAGATTGGCAGGAAGGAGAGTACAAGTGATCCCCGTCTCCATGATGCTTTGAGCAACCAGGTCTATGTGAGAAATATCTTTGGTATTTCCTTCAGACTTGACCCCTGGTATTTCTCTGACTCTGCTTCCTGGTTTGCCTTCTCTTTGGTTCGAATTATTGGCTGGTTCTCCAGTCCTGCCTCCTGTTTTGCCCCTTGATCCTGACAAAGGATTTTGTAGAATTCTAAACTATAAAGCATACCTCTGACTATTATCACCATTTGGCTTCTGAAATGTCAACAGGCATTGCCAACACACTTTGAGGACTGAAGGGCTTGAAGCCTGAAGTGCTTCTACCTTGGTTTTGGAATATTATTGTATTTTATAGAAGTTGTATTATAGCCACCTGACAGGTTTTCACTGCATGTGTCTTAAGGAGAGACAGAAGAGCTGTAGTCAAATATCTGAAAAACAGTTATGCAATAGATGGAACACACTTACTTTCTATTGTTCTAGAATCTATCAGTGAAAATTACAGGGAAAGAGATTTGAGCTAAACATTAATAATGGAAGTATTGTCATACCTTCTCTTTCAGGGTAAACCAGGATTGCCAGGTTCCCCAGGATTAAAAGGAGAACCTGGCCCTAAAGGAGAAAAGGTGAGTACCATTTTGATACAAAAGAAAAGAAACACCTTTGTGTCAAAAGTGGTTTAAAACTTGACAGGATTTTTATATATAAAGCATTTCTGTGTTCTGTATAAAGAGTGAAAATGCCAAATATATATAAAAATGCTGAGGGCACACATGCTTGGAAGCCTTATTTGAGATTATGTGGACACTTAAAATTTAGTGATGTAGTAAAGGCAGACGTAAGTGTGTACCACTGGCAATGTGCTAAAGGGCCTTGGAATTTCACATAACTGAGATTTTTACCGTGTTTACCAAATACTCAAAATGGACTTATGATCAAGCCCTTGGTGGGAGGAATCTGAGAGTAAAGGGAAGCATAACATGTGAAGAGGAATGTCAGGCCCTTCCTTCCTGCACTACAGATCACTATAAGTAAAGGTAAAGGTTCCCCTTGACATTTAATCCAGTCGTGTCCAACTCTAGGGGGCGGTGCTTATCCCGTTTCCAAGCCATAGAGCAGCATTTGTCCGGAGACAGTTTCTGTGGTCACGTGGCCAGCACGACTAGACACGGAATGCTGTTACCTTCCCACCATGGTGATACCTATTTATCTACTTCCATTTTTACATGCTTTCGAACTACTAGGTTGGCAGGAGCTGGGACAAGCGATGGGAGCTCACTCTGTTGCATGGATTTGATCTTACGACTGCTGGTCTTCTGACCTCGCAGCACAGAGGCTTTTGCAGTTTAACTCAAAGCGCTTCCACATCCTGCAGCGCCACCACGTCACTATGATCACTATGCTGAAGTATAAAACAGTGACTGGGGATTTTATCTCCCATAGGGTTACTATCTCTATGTATGACCTATTACCAGGATGTGCTAATCTGTCCATTTCACTTTCTCTCATATTCATTTTTTTTTAAAAAAAATTAGACAAATTCTTTCTGTCACATATAGGAGGAAAATTTGTACAATTTGGTAAATTCTTTTCAAAAATGACAGAACTCAGTGGGGTACAGCTATTTTCCAGAGGAACTGGATTTAATGAAATATGCGTGTTGCCAAGATAAGGAACTTATTTAGAAAAGAAAAAGAAGTGGCAGTTTTTCCCATCTGCTTTTCTTGTCCCTAACAAACATTTCATCATGCTGAATTTTTATTCCACATTTTGCTTGAAAGAAAATTGTGCTAATTAAAGATATACTGTCTATGCTGATTGCTGTCATTTCTGGGCAGAATTCAAGTGTTGATTATTACTTTTAAAATCTTATCTGGTGTGCTGGATCGGGATACCTAAAGAATGATCTTCCACACAGTCTTGTCCATCCACTAAGGCAGAGGTGGGCAATTGATTTCTATAAGGGGACCACACGAAAAATCTGAACTGTGTTCGGGAGCCGAACCAACTTTACTTAAAAATAAAATGAAACAGTGAGGTTATGATTGTTTTTATTTTAAACTTGTTAATCTTCACAAATACTAAAGAGGTTTTTGCGGTATGTTAAAGATAAGCAACAGAACAACTTTAGACAAAAAGCTATAAATCGTTTTGATGTTCAAAACTGTCCGCGGGCCAGACAGGAGTGGCTCGCAGGCCGTATGTGGTGCTCAGGCCGCACTTTCTTACCATCATCACGAATATGGTTTGTGGGAATGTGAGAAAGCCCATCAGATTGTGGAACTTCCTTCAACAAGAAAATGTGTCTAGTCACTTCTGTATTGGTCTTCCACTGTTGCCTAAAGACCGGGGGGGAACATTAGTATACCTTTGATAGGATATAGATACATTTCATTCCTTGAGGCAGTACGGTGTGTTTCTGGTTTGTTTGTTTTTTTAAATAAAGCTTGAAGTACTAATTTATGACATTTGTTGAGCAAGTCATCTTGGAAAGATAGATTAGAAAAATTTCCATCTGGATAAAATTATATATATATTGTATAGATGAGAAAGGGGGTTGGGAGAGGCAGAGTTGAACAGAAAGAAAGAGAAATTTTAAAAATGTCCAGAAAGAAGGAGGTGGGAAAAGAGAAGTAGGCAAGTGAGGAAGAAGGTTCCCTGATGGATCTTTAATCAGAATCCAATCATACTTAAAAGGCATAGTCTCTCTGATCTTCCTCAGAGCTTTCTACCTTCTCTGCTCTTTCTAATATATAGGATAAGGGGCATTGCTGCTTTTGCACTGTCAATCTATTAAGCCTGAACATTGTGGCTTAGCTTAGAAGAATACTGCTTAAACTATTTTTAAGTTGATACGAAACACCATGTGCTGTGATTGCTACAGCACAAGTTGGTTCCAGTGCTGTGACAAACATTAAACGCACCTGTGAATTCACTTTTTTTTTACTCTGTGTGAATTTGCCACGGAGTTCCTATAGCAACTTATTGTATAACTGCTTTTATCTCATGTACTGCAATGGCAGTAAAGGGAACTCTAGGCAAGAGCAACCATGTCATTCTAGAATTCTTGATTTCAAAGGAAACGAAAGCAGAGTGTAGCCACACACTTCTGCTGGATTTTTAAAAAGCCAATTTTAACAATCTCAGAACAAGGATATGTTCCCATGGCAAGAGATCCTAACAAGAAAAAGAGTCCAAGAAGGATGAGAGCTTCTAAAAAACAAGAAATTCTAAAGGCACAACTACAAACAGTTCCAACAAGAAAAAGGGGTGGGAGATGGCAAAGAAGGCCAGTGTCGCTTCACAAAAAAACTTAGGGAGGACTTAAAAACCAAAAAAGACATATACAGGAAGTGGAAAGAAGGCCAGACCACTAAGGATGAATACAGACCAATACATAGCAAGGAAATGCAGGGATAGCATTAGGAGGGGCTGAGAATGAGCTGAGGTTAGCTAGAGACACTAAAAGCAATAAAAAGCATTCTCCAGTTATGTGAGTAGCAAAAGACAAACAAAAGACATGGTGGCACAGTTCCGTAATGGAGATGGAAAAATGAGGACAAAGAAAAGGCAGAGGTGCTCAATTCCTATTTTAGTTCCATCTTTTACCATAAGACAGACTATGAACTTCCAAACAAATTGGAAGTGCAAGTGGGGGAGATAGGATTGCAGCTGGAGATTGCGAAACAAATAGTCAAGGAATACCTTACCACCTTCAAATCTCCAGGGCAAGATAAATTGCGTCCAAGAATACTGAAGGAACTGGCTGAAGAACTCTCAGAACCGCTATCCATTATTTTCTTGAAATCATGGGAAATGGGTAAGGTGCCAGAGGATTGGAGGAGGGCCAATGTTGTCCCTGTCTTCAAAAAGGGCAAAAAAGAGGAACCTGGGAACTACAGACCAGTCAGCCTGACATTAATCCCAGGAAAAATTCTGGAACAGATCATAAAGCGGTCATTGTGCAAGTAAACACTGCAGTAACAACTAGTGTCACAATCACCTCTCCCTAAAGAGATAATGATCTTAGTCAGGGAATCACTTTGGGTGCAAAGGTACCAACTTTAGTGCCTTTAGGCCTCAGAAGTGCGTACTTTCCCCATGGACAAGCCTGACCTAAAAGAGAACACTTGCCTCCTTACAAGTAAACCATTGACTATGTGCTTCCTTTGACAGCACAACAGCCTTGCCAGGTAGGACCTCTCAATTTACAGTAGCAATTAGTGACCTTCTCAAATCTTCACTGGATTTAGGTGTAATCCTGCTGCTCAAGAGATCAGCCCTCTGTTGAAGGATTATATTTGTTTTTATTAAGAAAATAAAGTACTGTAGTATCATTAGACTACAGTGGTGGCTTTCAGGCATAAGCATTATGCATATCCATCTGTTACAATGATTAAATAAATTCACTACTTCTAAATAAAATAAGCACAACTAAAGCTAAGTAACAATCTTTGCTCTCTCTCAATGTCAGCATCTAGAGGCTGGGCTATTTCTCCCCCCTCCTTCACAAGATAAACCTCTCACATTCCACGACATTTACCAACCAACAAACATCAATCACATACATGAAAACCATTTTCTACACGTTTCCAGATCGCCCTCTTTCTTATGCCTTCTAGCTGTTAATCAATTCTGTCCAAGTGGGTGTAACACAGTTCACTGCCTATATTTCACATGAGAAGATCCCAAGCCCAGGTGGCTTATCTTTCCCCCATTAAGCGGTATGCTGTTTCGTCTTCCTTTGGGGTCTTTGGCCTTGCTTCCTTATCTTCGGGCCAGGCAAAGCAACTTTGCATAACAATCTCATGAAAACATTTCATGGCTTTTGAATTCATCTATTCTCTGGCTGTAAGTCGAACCTAAATTTTGCAGCCAGAGAAGTCTGTAACTCGAAAAGTCTGTAATTCGAGCCGTCTGTAAGTCGAGGGTCCACTGTAGTTACCTCAGGATTTGGTGAGTGCTCCAACTGGAGGCATTCAAGAAAAATTTAGATAATCACCTGGCAGATATGCTTTGATTGTATTCGTGCATTGAGCATGGGGTTGGACTTGATGGCCTTGTAGGCCCCTTCCAAATTCACTTTTCTATGATTATATTGATATTTACAGATGAATTTTCTTGGATATACAGTCATGGCCAAAAATATTGGCACCCTTGCAATTCTGTCAGAAAATGCAGCCCTTCTCCCAGAAAATTGTTGCAGTTGCAAATGTTTTGGTACTCACATGTTCATTTCTGTGGTTTCAAATTTGACTTTTCTTCTCTGTTTTTTTTGTGTTGCTCCAATGCAAATAAAAGAAATTAACATTTGAGTACCAAAACATTTGCAACTGCAACAATTTTCTGAGAGAAGGCTTGCATTTTCTGACAGAAAATGTGCACGTGTGTATATTTAACAGCTATTATTATATATATCTTTACACACATACATATGTGCAGAGCAGCTATGCCCAAGCAGGACTCCTGTGCCCGCTTGGCCAGGGCAACAGATGGCTGGTAGGATGTTTGCTACATCAGCACAATCATCAAGCTGTGCCTCAGACACTTTAGCTGGTCCAGACAGTTGACATTAGAGCTTGAACTCTCCTCCCCCACAATGGGGGAGAGGGATTCCTTGTATAATACAATTATCCCCTCCCTCAAGCCTCTGTAGTGCTACATAGAGTATGCCCAAGAGGGCAATGCTGAGATAGGTCATCTCCCTTCTAATTCATCTAGTCAGCTAATTCATTTGGTAGCTAAACATATATTATAGTCCTCACAGCACCTTATTTCTCTCTGTTCTAGGGAGATACTGGTGTTGGATTGCCAGGACCGCCTGGACTTCCAGGGCCTCCAGGACTGCCTGCTCCATCAAGGGGATTTGTGAGTTTCAGTTCTTCAGCTTCTTTGCCTGCTTGTCCTTTGAAGGAGTACGTGTGTCAGGGAAGACATGAGGAGAGAAAGAAGGAAGAAAGAAAGGTGCATCAGAGATAAAGGGACAGATATAAAAGAAAGAGACAAGCAAGAAGATGGGGAAAGAGGGGAAAAAGATGGGCTTGAGGAAGGCCTGCATGTGAAGATGAATGGAAATGCCTTAGTAACTGATTGGCATGGATGAGAAAACGATACATGAAAGAACAAGAGCAAGAATGAAAGAAAGAGCAATTCGCTTATGGGTCTTTGATTACTTGGTGGCTATATGGTAGGTGCAGGAAGAGAAGAGTGTGCCTCAAAATAAACTTGCTAAAACATTGACTTCAGTCATCTGCTAGTATATAAAGTTGTCTGGAGAACAGCCAAGAGCATACACAACAAGCAGAAGACTTGGATTGAGGTCAATATGATGGCTGCAGCTTTATTTATTTTTCCTTTTCTCTGTTCCATTCACATATACACCAGAGTTTTGGAGTGATTTGATTTTGACATCAAAAGGGAAATGTGAACCCCTTTTCTTCCTGACTTTTGTTGTTCTAGTCTTTGTCATTTTGATAGTGTAGACAATTCAGCATTCTTTCCCCTGCCATATCTCTGCTCTGTTATGATGAGACTAAATTCCAAGTAAATTTCCCAAGGAATTTGCGCAAAATGTAGATTTTGAAGGAAGGAAAAAAAGATTTCAGTAAAGCCAGGTAAGTGTCCTCCAAGATAAGATAGGGGCTCCATATCTTCAGGTTGCAGACCAATTTCACCAGTCACAAAATCTGAGGCTATTTTCCAAGTTCCAGCTTGAGCAAAATATTTGAAGAATTTCATGGGATGCTTATTAAATGAGCTTTGATCAGACGACTGGAATTCTTGGATGACAATATTCACTAGCAATGTTCTAAAATTAATGTTTATTTCAGAAGCTAATGGAAATACAAGGATCTGGCTCTGGATCTGGTGACTTTGACAGAGACATAGAACTTCCCAGGGTAAGCAGGTTTCTGTGGACTGTTGCTGATAGTTTCTCCAGCAACACACACAAAATGCTATGAGTGCCTGCAACAATAGCAGGCTGAGAACTATAAGGTCCTACTGTGAAAGGTTATAAAGCCAAAGGAAGGAAGACAGTAATTTCAAAAGTACATCTGCAGCTTCATGTGAGAATAGAGACACATCTGCAGGAAATGAAGCAGTGTCATACAGCTTCTGCCTGTGACACTATCTGCTTTAACATCAAAATTTGTCTGAGATTTGAACTGCTTGCTCAAGAGTCCATCCACTGAGCAGCCAGGTGCCTCAACTATTTTTCTGTGGATGAGACTAACTGGTATCACAGATGAATGAAAGAGCTAGTTCATTGCTCTCTGGTAGAGCAAGATCAGTTTGTACAGCTCTGCTAACCTGTAAAAAGTCCTGAGAATCTGCACATTCTTCTTTAAGGATCTAAGCTTTATACCATGTAAAGGGGCTTTGGTGAAAATCATTCTACATCGATTTTATATTCATAATGACTGATTGTTCTTCCAAAAACACCCAAGTACATTTCTACTTAACTCTGTTTGGAAGTACTCAGATACTGTAAAAATCTTCACATACATTATCGCCTGATGTAGACCATTTTTATTGTCCATATTGTTGTGGGTGGGTAGGTGGGTTTCAAGCTGAGAGGAGGTGGCTTCTCAAAACCTTTTATAACCTTATATTTTATTTGTTTAGGGTGCACCAGGACCCCCAGGTCCTCCAGGTTCACCAGGTCTTCCAGGATTGCCTGCACCAGATTCAAATGCAGGGGCCTCTGGGATGCCAGGACAAAATGGGAAGGGTGGCAGAGCTGGAGATCCAGGCCCTCGTGTAAGTATGAATGAATTAATAGGCTTGAGGTCTTTCATTTCATAGACTAACAGTGCCACCCAAGATCAAATTCTGTCTAGAAGCACAGCAAAACCTAATTTACTTTTTCTCTACTTGTTAAGAGGAAGAACATGCCAGGAGACCTTGCCAATGCAAGGGTAGATCCAGGTGTGCGGTTTCTGGGATCAGGCTTGATAGCTTCTCCTCATCTTACCGTTGATTGATAGCTTCTTGATAGCTTCTCATCTTACCGTTGATTACCATTGATCATCTTATCTCTGAATGCACCCTATTTCATTCCTTGCCAGGCTTGCGGTTTCTGGGCCAAATCCTATGTCTACTTCTTGTTATTAAAAGTTTTGCTAGTGGTTTAGTCAGTGTCAAAGCTCTTGTGAGCCAAGGAAGGCCCACAGAATGTCAGGAGGGAAACAAATGCTGAAACAATGTATCAGCACAATGTGGTGTTGTTGTTTTTTTCTTTTTCTTTTTAAGGATTGGACTATTTGACCTGCAAAAGAAAAGTGCCTTTTGCCTTTGTTTTGTTTTTGTTTTTGTTTTAGCAACTGCTTTGTATCATTGGCTTTTATAGCAATAGTTCATATTGCTACCTTCAAAACTTGCTTTTTGTCCCACAGGAAAAATTGTCTGTAAAATGCAGTTATTGCAAGCAAAAATTTTATTATTGGAATACAGTTGGCTAATTGAGGAGGGACAATTCATTCCGTTTTGAATGAAGAAGTACAGACATCCACAGAGAAGAATGTGTTCACCAGAGTTCATCCATTTCTCATTAACTGGCTCTTAAAGTTTCAATAATTTACCTGAAACATTTGTAAGAGAAAGAATAGAAAACATTTTTATTTACAATTGTTTGAAATTTCAGACTTGTATATACTGCTTTTTTTACTGCACACATACTGACAACGAACCAAACAGATCAAAAGCAACAAACAGCTGATGCCAACAGAGAAAAGAGAGGGAAACAACAACAGTCAACAGAGAAGCAGGGCCTTTTTTAAATTCAAAGGCTGGAAGGAATTACAGTGGTGCCTCACTTAACGAGCACTTCGTTTAACGATGAATTCACTTAGCGATGACTTTTTCGGAGCATTTTTGCGCTCCGTTTAACGATGGTCCCTATGGGCGATTTTTGCTTAGTGATGTTGGGACCATGCTTCGCATAAGGACGGCAATTGGTTCCTATTGGAACAGATTATCTGGTTTTCAATGCATTTCAATGGGAAACCATGTTTCGCTTAGCGATGTTTCACTTAGTGACAAATTTTTTGGAACCAATTAAAATTGTTAAGCGAGGCAGCACTGTATTGGTTAGTGCTGGATAGGCAATCACCCCAGTCCAGAAAAGTCCCTCTCAGCTACACAAACTACAGACAATATGCAAGGTTGCAAATAAAATTCAAATATAGATAATTCCAGATCGTGTATGATCAACTTGTTCTACATAAATGCAACTAGAATGTTTGAGTAGGGCTTTGATTGCAGGAACATACTGTACATTATTTAAATATGTTATCAAATATAGTATTGTGCACATGATCATTCTAGTTACCAGTGTGGAGATAACTTTTATGTACAAAGGCATGTGTTTCAAATGAATCAGAGGTCTAAACCATACATTACGACATTGTATGTGCAAATTACCACATAAAATATTGTATGGACAACAGACTGGCAACAAGTAGATAATAGATCCATTCCTCTGTCAGCACTCTCTGCCCCTCCACTTAGTATCCTTTCGCTTCCCAATGTATTTCTCTAACTATGCTCCAAGCTTGGGGCAGATATTGTGTGAGGGAATGAGCTGCAGAGGGAAAAGAGGAGATGGATGGATTCAGCACCTCCTCCTATCTGCCACTGTTTTGCAGCTGTTTACCATATCCTGTGTCTGAAGCTGCCACAGCTGGTTCTGTCCAGAATAGATGCATGTGGATACCAAGAATATGTAATCCTTCTAGTGGGAGTCCTTCAGAGAACAGATGCCTGTGCAAATTAAAACTAGCCTCTGATGAGCAATTTGAAATGATGCACTTCTAAAATCTGCTGTCATTTTCAGGGTCCACCTGGTCGACCTGGCCAAAATGGATTGAATGGCACTGCAGGAACAAAAGGAGAGAAAGTAAGTTGGAAACTCAAGTTAATTCTAGAGATACATGCAACATTCTCTCTCCCTTTATTTTCCTCAGATTTGGGGGTTTCAAATGAAGCATTCTTCCAGATGAGGCAATTGTCCTGTCCTCTCCCACAACCTTTACTGTCAGTTGGTGCCAAAATAATGTGTATACTGAGATTTGCATCCAAGCTGCTGTCTGAAGGAGGTATAGTGCTAATGTGAGAGCCAGTAGGCTTTTTTTTTGGTGAGCTTCCTCCTGCATGGAATGCTGCCCTGTTCACATCAGCCCCAAGCCAATGTCAATGAACATTCAATATTAAAAGATAATTGAGAATTGAGATCTTCCAGCTGGGAAACAGAAGCCTTCCTATTTGCATCCTCTTACCATGGACATCGACTGCAAATGAGAAGTGTCATAGCGCCACGCTCTGGAGCAAAGGGATCAAAAAAAGATTGACCAAGTGTTTTTGGGGAGTTAAAAAAAATCTCAAGATGCATGGGGGGGAAATGGTACAAATAGGCTTAGAGATAAGAAGAACATCACCTGGATGTTGAGGAAAATGCTTGGTAGGAATACACATGGTCTGCTTGGAAGAGCCCTAAATTCACCAATGAAATCATCCCTTGATCTTACTGCAGAGGGAAAAATACTCAAGCACAATAAGTATCTATGCATTTTCCTCTCCGTGGCTAATTGCAGCTGCAAGGTCGTGCTCTCTATACCTGTGCAAGGACAACGTGTTGACCCTTCTTGCTTTCTCCATATCACAGTCCCAAGCTGGATTGTCTCTGCAAAGAGAACTCATCACAAAACTCTCACTTCCTTTCTGACTTGAATCTTCCCTCCGATTCCACACCCAACGGTGCAAAACCAACGCAAAACCCTACAGCTAATAGCAGACACAGTTTTATTTAACCAAGTACATAATTCTTGTGTAAAGCATTTTCACCTATATACAACAGTAAGAATGGGGCTGTCATTCACCAACTTTGGTGAATGACAGCCCCATGGTCTGTATATATAATGAATGATTAAAATATAGATGCTGTTCTTCATGGGCACATAATTCTCCAAATATAAATAGTACTGTATGACTCTGTTTATAGTCCTCACAGGAGGCCTTTGAACTAATGATTTAAATAACTCAGAGTAAATATATATGTTTCGTATTTCTTATTTTGATGTGCCATATTATGTGTGAGATAATTCTTTATGCATAGACATATTAAAATCTGAAAATTGTGAGATATAGTTTAAGAAGCAAACACATTTTTTAATTGAAGGTAAGCACTGGTATATGTCCTGTGCTTGATCAGAGATTAGGAATTAGCCGACTATGTGCTGTAATGGCTAAAATCTTGTTCAAGTTGATGTAACATTAAGTTATGCCTGGGGTTGTGTGCTGGCCCTCACATCCAGGCAGCCAGCATTGCACCATTAATCACATGGTTCATGTCAACACTCTTGTGGATGAGCTTCATGGATATTACTTCCACTTTCCATCAATTTTTTCTAACGTTTCCACAGTTTCACTTTACACATGTGTAGTTGCACAACAGGATTTCAGCCAAACAATAGCTGATGGGTTTCGTGGTGGCGCTGTGGGCTAAACCGCAGAAGCCTGTGCTGCAGGGTCAGAAGACCAAGCAGTCGTAAGATCGAATCCACGCGACGGAGTGAGCACCCGTCGCTTGTCCCAGCTCCCGCCGACCTAGCAGTTCGAAAGCATGCAAATGCAAGTAGATAAATAGGGACCACTTTGGTGGGAAGGTAACAGCGTTCTGTGTCTAAGTCGCACTGGCCATGTGACCACGGAAGATTGTCCTTGGACAAACGCTGGCTCTTTGGCTTGGAAACAGGGATGAGCACCGCCCCCTAGAGTCGAACATGACTGGACTAAAAATTGTCAAGGAGAACCTTTACCTTTTACTATTCTTGTCTTATTTTCAGTTCTTCTTTATTTAGCATAACTATAGGGTTTGTTTCAACAGATTTGAAACAATAGTGTAGATTATATCGAAGGCTTGTCATCGAGTGCCTGTAAACAGCTCTCAAGTAGTATTGAGATCTCAAAATTGCTTTGATGTGAACTGCAGTGGTATAGTGATACATTTGGAAATGCATGTGCTGATCATAATAGTTGCTTGAGCCAGCTTCTGCCATGGTGGTCTAAAAGTTCAGGCAACTGGATCAATCCGTATTAACAAACGAGGAGCAAATCTTTTATAAAGTTAGTGGCCCATGTGCTGATCATAATAGTTGCTTTAGCCAGCTTCTACCATGGTGGTCTAAACATTCAGTCAACTGGATCAATCCATATTAACAAATGAGGAGCAAATCTTTTATAAAGTTAGTGGCTCTTAGTTGCCCATTCGAAACCAAACCATCCTTAAATACTTTGCAACACAATAGCGGTAGCTTGCTCCTGGGAAAATCCACTTCTCTCCCAGCTACTGTGAGAATTGAAGCTAAACTCAGAAAACACCAGGTGTGTATGTGAAAGATGGTGTCATACATCCTGCTAAACAGAAAATCTTGGGGCTTCAATCCCACAAGTCCTGGCTCTGCTATATAATATACCACTGCCAAGTTATTTGACCATTGTAAAGACACTGCAGAATTACCCACAGCTATCTGCCAGAGTTCTTCTTCTTGTAAGTCACGTCAGGTCAGGGAATCTGACACTTGCACATCTTCCTAAGAGCCCTATAGGACTTCATAGAACTCTAGGAAAAAATCAGAAGCCTCTTTTTATAACAGGTGGAATTGATCCTGTTAAGGATTAATTCCAAAATGAAATCAAACAACCTTTTCCAATCATAACAAAATTCATCTGGGTATCAAAGTATAAGCCATTTCATTGCTGCAATGATTCAATGCAACATAGCTTGACTAATTCTACAAGTTTTATTTATTATAGCTTGACTAAATCTACAAGTTTTATTTATCCACATTATTTCTATGTTCCATACATACAAAAATTCTTCAAAGTTGTTGAAAACATTCAAAGTCTTCAGCTATGGAAAAACTTTAGGCAGAGATACTTTAAAATATAAGAAAATTAAACTTAAACTGCAGGCAAATATGTAAGTCAGAATTCAATTCAAAATACAGGAAATATCTAAAATAATGTTTTAATTACATTCTAAAAATGCAGGAGCTTATAGCCTAAAAAAGGCACCATCCAAAAGCAGAGAATACATCTATAGAATACATCATTTAAAAATAAAAAAGATGATAGTATTAAGTTATCTTTAACCTTTAAGCTTATTATAAGGACACACACACAAAATTATTTTAAGTGCTCACCCAGTCAAGCCAGTTTGATTCTAGTAAAAAAGTTTATCTTTAACCTTTATGCTTATTATAAGGACACACACAGAAAATTATTTTAAATGCTCACCCAGTCAAGCCAGTTTGATTCTATGGAAGAAAATCCATGTTGCCCTCATCTGCTGCTGCTGTGGTTGCTCTACATGATGCACTTTTAATATCTAATGCCCAGTATCAGTGTTGTTGGCATCCAGTGTGTCTGACTTAGTGGCATGTGAAGTTGGAAGTATGTGTTACTTGCCTCCGTATATTTATATTTCTCTCAAATATTTACATTTCCCTTCAACTGTAAACAACTGGCTTTGCCAGTGCAGTAATTTATGGGGGCTTGATATATGGTCAAAAAATTGTAATTAAAATTACTGTAGCTTTTACTGGGATGGCAAAATACGATTCCTATAAATCAGAATCTGGCAGGCTGCTACCATGACAATAAGCATCTTTATTTTGGCGAACACGGTGTTGCATTTGCTAGGCCAGTGGGTTATCCTTGGACTAAATTACTGAAGGAGTAAAATGGGAGTACAACAAATTGCTGGATCAGCAAACACCACCTGCTGGTTGTATTAACACATTGCAACATTTTACTTAATATAAACCAATTTAGTCTATCTGCTATTCAGGACACTAGGAATTGTTCCCTCTGTTATTTACTTTCATGTTAGACTGTCGGCTATGAAAGAGATTCTTTTGCAAGGCCATGTTGTTGTACAGTGACCTTGCTTCCAGACTTGGCTGGAGCACTGGCTAATTGTTTAGCAGTGACTTCTAATGAACTGGTACTGAAACCTGATTTTTAAAATACAGTGTACATATTTAGAGGTGTTTTTTCTACACCTTTCTGAATTATTTTAACACTCTATACTGGGATGGCAGAATGTTCACATCTTGACAAATATGCCTCCTTACAATAAAGACGAACACCCAGATAATTGACTCCTGTAGAAACATTGGGGCTGAACACTTTCTGCATGGACAACCATATTCTAAAAAATCCTATATGAGTTTTATCAGGTTCAACATTGTCAACACAGAGAGAAATATCTAGCCTTGCTCTGTGCATTTTCACTTTCTCCACATGAGCGGCAACAAGTCTGAGAAGGAGAGGCACCTGCTCATGTGTAGGCTCCACATTTGAGAAAGAATTCATATCTTCCAGGGTTTTGGTCCCAGATGTGCAGGCACTTCAGACATTGCTGTGCATATAGTGAAAATGACAACAACACATGTAACCAGTGTTGTTCAGACTGGATTCATTAAGGCTAAAGGAAATCCGTTGAGATACAGTAGTAAACCATTTGTGCAACAGTACTTGAAAATACAGATATCCTCGCTTTCAGAATTCTGGGAAGCACTGTATTACATAAGCATCTTTGGAGAGCTCTGAAGAAATATGGAGATTTTATTCAGTCTGGAATAGAAAAAGGACCTCCCAGACTGTGCTTTGGTTCCATCTTGGAGAAAACCTCTAGACTCAAAGGAAAGGCCATGCAAATTCTACTCCTGTCAAACAACTTATGAAGAAACTCTTGAAACTTTGGGCTGGTTCCACCACTGCCAGCTGAAGTAATAGCCAAAATCCAACTGCAGAAAAAACATACATGTTAAGGCAATCACACAGCAGTTTCTTCTCCCTTCATGCAAATAGTCACACAATTGGCTGCATGCCTGATGCTATGCCTAGTGTGAAATCATGTAAGGGAAATCTTGTGGGGAGGCAGTGCTGACACAATCACTCCTATGTAATTACATAAGCCTGAGCACTTTACAAGCTATTGTAGATACCTTTTGTTTGAACTTGGCCAGTACATATCTCTTATTGGGTTTCTTAGTCATGCTACAGCAACACTGGGCAACATGTAGGGGGCATACTGATGCTCCGACTTCAAAGTGGCCTTGGGCAAACTGTATAGTCCCAGAGTTTTCCCAGAAAAAAAGGGAATGGTAAATCACTTTTGGGTATTCACTACCAGACAAACCCTGAAAAGGGTGACCATAAGTCAGAATTGACGGTACATAATGATTATTATAATGGTAGTAAATACTCTCTAGGGACGTGGTGGCGCTGTGGGCTAAACCGCAGAAGCCTGTGCTGCAGGGTCAGAAGACTAAGCAGTCGTAAGATCGCATCCACGTGACGGAGTGAGCTCCTGCTGCTTGTCCCAGCTCCCGCCAACCTAGCGGTTTGAAAGCATGCAAATGTGAGTAGATAAATAGGTACCATCTCGGTGGAAAGGTAAACAGCGTTCCGTGTCTAAATCACACTGGCCATGTGACCACGGAAAGATTGTCTTCAGACAAACACTGGCTCTATGGCTTGAAGAGCGGGATGAGCGCCACCCCCTAGAGTCGGACACGACTGGACAAAAATTGTCAAGGGGAACCTTTACCTAAATACTCTCTTATGCAGATGGTAAGAAAAGAGCAATCACAAGCTACACTGGGAATGAGCTATGGTACGTGTGGTAAAAACAAACAGGATTTTGCCAAGCTCTGTTTAAAACCTACTTAAATTATAGCTCTCTAGCGTGACTAAAGGAATAACCTGGTTCCTCATGTTGCAATGATGGGGGATCTGGTTTGTTTGTTTGTTTGTTTGTTTAATTGTTGTTATTGTTATTGTTATTATTAAACAGACAAACAAACAACACGTACAAAACATACACATATGGAGGTGTTTACCTTAGTGCAATATCTAATATATAATCTTGACTCCATAACTGTGTTACAGTACTAAAATCTTTAACCTATCTTATATTCTCTACTCATGTTTATTTCTGGGCTCAATCCTAAAACATGTTCAGTTTTCTTTAACATAATTTCTCAAATTCTCAGATAATATCTCTAACAAGCTATCTCATTTTAAGCCCAGATCAACCTTATAACTATAAATATTTATAACCACATATGTTTACTCTCTCTGTGTGTGTGTGTGCATTTCAAATCAACAATTTCTATATTCAGCAAGAGCATTTCTAGTTTAAAGGTTATATTATGTGATTTTTTCTATAATATCTTTTTATCTATCTCCAAAATCATTTTACTCTGTCACTTATCCACCAGCTATACAAAAGATAATCTGAAGTTGCTGACAATATTTTTAACCTGAATTAATCTCTAACACCCTTTTTGTCAGTTTTGAACTGCCATCTATAGAACATCTTTAAAACATTTTCTCTCAAATTTACTGATTTAATGCATCTGTAGTTATCATTCCACATTCAAATCCAATCATATGTGTCTAAATTATAGCCAAGATTTTCTACCTCTTCCATCATCACTGCTTTCACCCTTTCCTTCGCTGAATTCTTTTCTAACAAACAAATATACATTTTTGCATAATCTTCTCATTAGTATAAATCCACACCTGGGCCTTCCTCTCATAAAAGCCCATTATTTTATCTTCCTTCAATCTTGATTCTAAAGTCTGTTTTTCTGCTGCTCCCACTGCTTTGGTGAAATCCTGAAGTTAATGCCTTATTTCCAGCATCTGGGCTTTAATCTGATTCTTAAATTGATTAATAATTTTCATTTGGAACTCCTGTATATAGTTCTTAAAAGAATCTTGCATTATTAATTTTGATGGACTTGTACATTGACAAAAGGCTATCATTTCTGTTTCTTGTGTATAGATTTATTTTAAGATAACACTTTCCACTGAGAAATAAACCAATTCAGCTTTTTAAAAGTTCAGATACTTTGATACCACTTCTTAAAGATCCAGCAAGCCCACCTCTGCTTCCGTCTTCTCTCCAGTTCACACCACGTCCACCAAATCCATTTTTCCCTTCCTGTACTCCAAATTCAGTCAAGAGCCATTGAACAGTAAAACTGTTGATCAGTTAGTCTTCATGTTAAATGGGTCAGTTGAGGCCCAAACTCCCACTTAACACATCCAATTGTAAATCTAAATTCAGCCAGGGGCAGTTTTAATTTATAATCCACCATTCCACCAGGTCACAGCAAGGCTGCTGGGGGGGGGTGTCCCCATTTTTGTATGTCGACACCCAGAATTCTCCCCAAGTGCCTCTGTTAAAAACTCTCTTTAAGAATTCAAATCTTCTTTAACCTCTAGGATTATGGGTCTATATATCCATCGAGGGAGGACAGGAGGATGAGAAAGTGATCTCCATCCATATCTTTTAACTTTCGTTTCTATTTAAAGTGTGAGGAAGTTAAAACTTAGTCAATGTTACAGGGATACAATAACAAAACCACTTAGAAAATAAAGTTCTCTATTTGATTTCAAAGAGAGATTGGGTAACAACTAATTTGTCTCTTAATTGCCCCAATTTAGCTGGCTTTCATTCTTTTGTTGTTGTTGTTCTCTTTATTGCTCTTCAGCTGCTTTGTTTATCTCTTCTCTGCTTTTAAGTCAGCAGCTTCAGTTTGAAATGTGGCGCTGTGGGCTAAACCACAGAAGCCTGTGCTGCAGGGTCAGAAGACCAGCAGTCGTAAGATCGAATCCACGTGACGGAGTGAGCTCCCGTCGCTTTGTCCCAGCTCCTTGCCAACCTAGCAGTTTGAAAGCATGTAAATGCAAGTAGATAAATAGGTACCACTTCGGTGAAAAGGTAAAACGGTGCTCCCTAGTCACGCTGGCCACTTGACAATGGAAACTGTCTTCAGACAAGCACTGGCTCTATGGCTTGAAAAACGGGATGAGCACCGCCCCCTAGAGTCGGACACAACTGGACTAAAAATGGCTAGGGGAACCTTTACCTTTACCTGCTCATGAGAAATAAAAGGCCAGTTACTCACAGTTCATGTACCCAAGCAAGAAACTTCTTCACACTTCCCATCTTGGCAAAGTTAGGCAGCTAGTTCACCAGAAATGGCGTCTCCCGGGCCAGATGCTTTGAGAAAGGAAGCTCTCATGAAGACAGATTGCTGTCTGAATTTGGAGTTTTTTCAGCTCTCCTTCACTGCAAGCCCACTCTCCTGTAGAACATGCCCCCCCTTCCACTGCTTGGGGGTCTGCTGACCCAGAGTTTACACAGGGGTCCCCAGAGCCCTGGGAATTCCCTCTGCTCTAGCTGCCATCGCTCTGCCTCCTCAGGGATCTGGATATTGACATCTATATGTTACCATCCATATCACTGTCATACTGCCTGCTGATATCAATTGGTCTAGGAAGCCTGAGGTAAGCCTTGTTGCAGTTGTACTTGTATTTGGCTTGTGGGCTTTTGAATCTGTTTTTGGTGTTGCTTTTGTTAATTGTTTCTTGGGTGGTATTCGTTTGATTCTTTTTTGTATTTGTATACTTACTGTTTTTAGCTTTAAATATGGTATTTTAAAGATGTAAGCTGCCTTGGGTCCTTTTTAAGGAGAAAGGTGGGGGTGAAAATATTTTAAATGCATAAATAATAAATAACTATGGTCATGTTCATTGAATTCTTGTCTGATTCATCTCTTGCGAACCAAAGTCTTTTGGCTGTGTATAATAATGCCATTATGTCTAAACTAGCTAATTACATGAAGAAGACCACAGCATTAATATAATTCAACTGAAAAACCTTGGAAACCAGTTGGTTTTGAATTGTTGTGGTACAGTATATTCATTTTAGAGACACTACTTGAATACATAAGATCGTTATGCTAGAAATTGTGAAGCACTGGTGCTATGACATTTTTATATGAAATAAAATGTGACTTAAAGAATGAATAAATAAGTAGAAATCTCTAGTTGTCACTGCTCAGCCTTTCCAGTTCCTTGTTATGTTATATGCTGTCAAATCCAATTTATGGTGATCACAACTTGAAAACCCATTCAAGTTGTGTAAGATATTTTTTACCAGTGCCACCCCACTGGTGAGTTTCTGTGATCAATCAGGGATATGAATCCAGGCATCCTGAATTCTAGTCTGATACTCTGTTCATTACCCTGTACGTTGCCACATTGCATAATCCTTGTGTTTGCATATTTCAGTTTACTGTCTTTGAAGACTCCTTTGTTTACAACAGTTGTTTTTATCTTACAGGGTGACCAAGGTATTCGGGGTTCAGATGGAGCCAAGGTAATTAAACATAACACTTTTAAAATTCTATTAATCTAAAAATGAAAAGTTAGATATGGAGTTATAAAATTATTTATAGAATCCGAAGACTATCATATGCTTTTGAAATTTTATCTTTTGGAAAAGGGATTATTTAGGAAAGGGCTGATACCAAGTGAGAAGCACTACTTTCTGAAGAAAAAGACAACGCTGAAAAAGCAGCATAAGATGATGATAGAGAAGTAGCAGGAGCAGAAGAGTGGTAGGCAGTGTTATCGGGGCTTAAGCTTCTATGGGAACTATGCCATCTCTTCAGGAAGAGAGATTTCTGTCTAAATGCTAGCTGTTGTAATGACCTTGAAGGTCTTGAGATTATAGCTAGTTTATTTGAAGATTGTCTCCTCTCATATATACCTGCCTCAACCTAAGATTATTTTCACGAGCCCTCGACCAGACACTCCCACCAAGATAGCTGAGGCTGATTACTTTTGAGAAGAGAGCCTTCTCAACGATACCATCTCCACTCCAGTGTGACATATTCTGCCCAGAAGAGCAGCAACATTTGTTTGTGTTTTCAAACATTTTGAACCTTATTCATGTATCATGTTGATGGTTCTTTGCCTTTCTCTTTATTATTTATTTGAGTGCTGCGTTTTATAAAAAGGGGGAGAAAGGGCAAAATCCTGTAGGTGTAAGTTGGTGGGATATAACTGAACTGGATGCTGGAAGCACTTCATTTGAATTAATTAAATGCATTAGGTTCCAAGGTTTGCTAGGCCTTTGGAAGCCTTGGGGTATGGGGTGTGGGGAGGAGCAGCCTTGGGGTACTCGGTGTGGGGAGGATACCCAGTGACAATCATTCAGTAGCAATTTTTTACTCTTAACTGGTTCCTCACCTCATGTCCTGAGGCTCCCAAAGGCTTTCCTGAGGCAAAAGGGAAGCCTTAGAACAGTGGTCCCCAACCTTGGGCTTCCAGATGTTCTTGGACTTCAACTCCCAGAAATCCTGGCCAGCAGAGCTGGTGGTGAAGGCTTCTGGGAGTTGTAGTCCAAGAACATCTGGAG